GAGCCTCTAACCGACGTGGGCACCTGCCCCGGATAGGTTCCTCATCGCCAACGTATTGGGCGTGATCTTCCGTCGCGTCGTTGCGGCGTTCTTGTTCTCGGCGCCCGGAGCACCCCGCAACATAGTGGCAGGAATGCTCGTCGTGCGTCGTGCCGTCATTGTACTGAAAACCGCCAATTGCACGATCGTTTAGAGAAGTGCGCATCGGGATCTCGTGCTGCCAGACTGAAGAGAATGAGTAGGTGTGGCGACAAATCGTAGTCCGAAGGATCGAAGACAGGTAGTCCCAGGTCTGTTTCGCTGTCACGTGGAAGGCTGACAGCATAGTCGTCAGACGACTGCTCACCTTTCTCTGATTGTTCTTCCCAGGGCGCTCGCGTCGCGAGACGCCCAGGGCCCTTGGTCGGTGCCGTTGATATAAACGCTGCCTCGACCAACTGTTCACTACGGCTGTCCCACCCACGAGCGGCCCAGACATAGTCTGCGCACGCCCGGGATGAAAAGCACGCAGGGGCGGGTGGGTGCCGCGGTCCTTGAAATGGTCGGCGAGGTTGTCCTCGTACAGTTTGACGTAGGAAGGGCTGAGATTGATGTCGTCGCTGTCCTTGTACTGACTGGTTGTCGTAAAACGGATCCCCGGTCGTAAAGGCAACGGGGAAGAGTGCCGCCAAAACGGTCCAGCGTGACGATGGTCTGCTGGAGGAACTAATACGAAGAGATGTGGGACTTGTGGTGCTCGACACCTGATGGGGCGAGAGGGCCACACTGGCCATGGCACCGAAGGCAGTGTGAGGGAGCCAAAGCTCCCAAATCAAGTAGGAGTTGGGATTGCGAGATAAAACTGATGTTTTGCCCTGAACGGACGGATGACTAAGACGGGTAAAACGCGTGTATTACGGTCACGGGTGCACGGCTGGCCACCCGGGCCCATATGGCAGCGGCGCAAGGAGATAGTTCAGGCAGGAGAAAGGGCAGGCACTAAAGGATACACTGCGCGAGTAGGGGATGCAGGAGTAGGAAGAGAAGGAGGAGGAAGAAAATGAGGAGGAGGAGGGGGAGAGGGAGGAGGAGGAGGAGGAGGAGGAGGAGGAGGAGAAGGAGGAGGAGGAGGAGGGGGAGGAGGAGGACGGGAGGAGGAGGAACATGCCCTTGCGGGCCTTTCTGATTTCCCACAAATCATTTGCTTTCCCTTCTCTTGATGGCCGCTACCGTGTCATTGCCTGTTTTTTGTTGCCGGGCTGCTTCGCCGAAGCCCGCTTGTACGAGTACGGACGCTGCGGCCTGCAGGCCACGGCTAGGGGGACGCAAAAGAAAAGTTCAGGATGTTTATTGACGGCCCCGGGGCCCAGCGAGGGCCTCCACGGAGGCCGAACACGGCCAAAAACCTTTGGTCGTGATGTGTTGTACGACGAGAGGAGGTGGGGTCGACCCCCCCGCCCTCGACTGAGGGGGAACGTCAGGGGGGAACCAGTTCAGGGGGGGAAGTTTCGAGCTTGAATCGGCGATACATCGTCGATGGATCGGTGAAGGGCCCCCGATGGCGAATCCGCACGCTCCTGGGCGGCGTTGACTATCGGGCCCCCATCGGCGATGAATCGGCGATTGGGGGTCGATGCCTCCCCGCTGAGCCCATCGCACCTACCTTCGATGGTAAGTCCTGGGAGCCTCCCATGCCATCTTGTTGGCTCTTGCGAATCGACGCTGACCGACGCTAACCGACGCCAATCGATGCTATATCGACGCTAATCTACGCTAACTTGGCGCTTTCCCATCGATCACCAGACGCTAGCGCACACTAGTGCACTCTAAAGACGACATTGCGATTCCGAACCCTGCGTAAAGTTACCCCTAATCGAACCCCCCCAAACCTCGTGCAGAGAGAGCGGCGTGTCGTCGATCTTCTTCAACTCTGGCTGGAGCTCCTGCGGCAAGCCGCCCATGGCCTAGGCCGCACGGGCGAGGGAGAGACCGTGGCGCAAGACGTGACAACGACGGTGCACGACCAGCGCTGGTGGAATCCCGCCAGCCCTCTGGGCTGGTTTGGGAGTCAGTTCTTCCGCGCCGTCTTTTCCCCCGTGGGGGAGAGGGTCACCCCTCGCGAAGGCAGCCCTTGGTTCACCGCAGAGGGAGGACGGGGCACAGATGGGAATCGGAAGCTGGCGCTCCTGAGACTCTGGCGAGGCTCTTTGTGGGTGCTCGGGGGGGCATATTGGGGCTCTGTCTGGGCCCTGCCGCGGGCTCTCCCAGGGTCGTGTTGGGAGATATCAGGGCCGCTGGGGTCACCCTGGAGTCGTTGTCGAGCCTGCCGAGCGCCAAGGACGCTTGCCGCCGCTGGACGTTTCAAGATTTGGCAGGGTGTGGGGCCCTCTTGGACCTCTCCTGGGGGCATCTGAGGCCCTGTTGGGTCCCTCCTGCGCCCGTAGTGGGGCTCGGTTGGGCGCTCTTGGAACCATCTTGAGGTCTCGAGGGCCCATCGGGAGAGAACACGCGTCAAGGCGAACATCTTCCAAATCTAACAGTGTTGATCCTGTTTGGCCTCCCAGGGCCATCCTGGAAAGCCTCCATAGCCACCTCGGCCCATCTTGTGGCGGTCTGGATGCCTCTTGGAGGCATTGAGGTGATCAGCTTGGTCCATCATGCGCCTTTTTGGAGTCCATAACGCCATCTCGCCTTGTCTTGCCTTGCCGAGGCCAAGGTGGGGCGTGACACGCCTGGTGAGGTGGTAAGCGCACGAAGCCTGATCAATGGTACGATATTCCGAAGCCTGGCGCGGCTTGGCGCGCCCTCCCTGAAGTGGTGCTGGTGTGACCAGGTTCAGCTATGATAAACAGGCTTCGGGGTGAAAGGGGGCCCCCTGGAAAATGAAAGCGGGCGTGAACCAGTGAAACCTCTGCTATCCTCCTCCTCCTCATTATGTTCCTCCGTCTCCTTCTCCTCCTCTTCCTCCTCCCCCTTCTCCTCCTCCTCCTCCTCCTCCTCCTCCTCCTCCTCTTCCTCCTCCTCTTCATTTCCCCTCCCTCCCCATCCGCCTTCATCCCCCCTTCCCTCCTCCATCCTCCCACAGCGGCAAGGAAAAACAAACGAAAACCCAAGGAAATAACAGGTGTGTTGCAGAAAAATAACAGAAACTTAAGGAAACACAAACAAAACAAAGAAACCAAAGGTTTGGAATTGAAAACTACGCAAAAAAACATAAGGAAAAACAAACAAAAACAACACCAACAAAAAAAACTGGCACCCTTCTCGGTGGAGCGTAGGGGTGGGAAGGGTGGGTCTGTGAATCTTTGTTTTTTTGTTTTTGTTGCTGCTTTTCCTTAGGTGTTTCTATGGTTTTCGGCTCCAGCCCTTTGGTTTCTTTGGTTTGGTTGTTTTTTCCTTCGGTTTTCTTTGGTTTTCCTTGCCGTTGTGGCAGGAGGAGGAGGAGGAGGAGGAGGAGGAGGAGGAGGGGAGGAGGAGGAGGAGGAGGAGAGGAGGAGGAGGAGGAGGAGGAGGAGAGGAGGAGGAGGAGGGAGGAGGAGGGGGAGGAGGAGGAGGAGGAGGAAGAGAAGGAGGAGGAGGAGAAGGAGGAGGAGGAGGACGAGGAGGAGGAGGAGGGGGGGGAGGAGGAGGACGAGGAGGAGGAGGAGGAGGAGGAGGAGGGGGGAGAGGAGGGGGAGGGGCAGGAGGAGGAGGAGGAAGAGGAGGTGTCTTATCCTGACGGGGCATCGGCAGAGAGGGCACGACGACCAAAGCACGACGCCCACGCAGAAATACTCGCTGTCGGGTTTGGAACACCAGAGAACCCCATTTTACGGCGAAAAGGGACGCCGGCACGCCTGCACGCCTGTCCTGGGTACCCCTCCACGCGCGCGGGCGTGCAAACACAAAAATAGCATAGCTTCCTGCTTACAACCTCAACACATGTTGGAAGTCTTCCGCGCGGAGGAAAAAACGAAAGGGGGGAAGGGAGGATGTAGTCTGCAAAAACGAACCAGAAGCACGGTCGAAGTGCAGCGTGCCTGTTCGAGCGTGTTGTGACGTCGTCGTCGTCGCCGCCGCCGCCGTCGCCGCCGCCGCTGCCGTCGTCGTCGTCGTCGTCGTCGTCGTGGTCGTCGCCGCCGACGCCGTCGTCGTCGTCGTCCTCCTCCTCCTCCTCCTCCTCCTCCTCCTCCTCCTCCTCTCAATCAGATTCCCCTATCAGGGGCGGAATCAAGCAAAAGCCTAGGAAAAAACAAAAAACAATAAAAGTAATCCTGGGGGACTCCTCCCCCGTCCCCCCCTCCTCCTCCTCCCCCCCCCCAGCAAGTTCCTCTGGATTGCTTGTATTGTTTTGTTTGCTTTGTTAGCTTGTTCTTAAGGTTTTGTTTGATTCTGTTCCGTAAGAGGATTCTGATTGGGATGAAAGGAGCCTCCCCCCAGCAAGTTCCTCAGGATTGCTTGTATTGTTTGTTGTTGCTTGTTTTGTTTTTTCATATGGCTTTGCTTGATTACGTTCCGTAAGATTATTCTGATTGGGATGAAAGGAGGAGGAGGAGGAATGCGAAGAGGAGGAGGAAGAGGGAGGAAGAGGAGGAAGAGGAGGAAGAGGAGGAAGAGGAGGAGGAGCAAGAGGTTTGAATGGTTTACGCCCGCTGTCATTTTGCAGGGGCACCCCTTTCACCCCCGAACCGATAAACAATAGGACACTTCGATAGCTAGCGCTGCCTGGCGGGGCCGCCCTGGAGGGTCAGATGGCACTGATGGGACTGCTGGGGTGGGCAGGGCACGATCCCTGGCACATAGCAACGCGCTGCAATGCAATAGCTGACGTGGTCTGGAAGTGCCGCCCTGGAGGGTCAGACGGCGATGGCGGGACTGGTGGAGTGGGAGAGGCACCAACCCTTATAAATCCGCCACAGTGCCCCCCGTCTCCTCCCCCTACTCTTCAAAGGAGAATGGGTCAAATGAGGGAAAGGAGAGGAGGAGAAGGAGGAGGAGGAGGAAGAGGACGAGGAGGAGGACGAGGAGGAGGAGGAGGAGTAGGAGGAAGAGGCAACGCCTGCATCCCAGCATAGAAGCCGGTCTGAGCATGGCTTACTGCCCTTGAGCTTATGCATGAAAGCATCGGTGCGACCTCCATCGAGGACGAAGATCAGCAGCAACCAGGCCAGGACACCTCGTTCACTTCTAGCTGCGCTCGCTTCGAACTGCTCCTGGACGACTGCAGCACGGCCCAGAGAAAAGCTGGACCTCTCGACATCCAGCCTCCCCTGGAGAGGACGGAGGCAGTGAGGAAATGGGAGGGACTGAGAGGATATAGGGGGGAAGGGAAGTCCCCTCCTCCTCCTCCTCCTCCTCTTCCTCCTCCTCCTCCTCCTTCATCAGATCATCCCACTCACTCACCCGCTCGCTTCGCTCACTCACTCAACGATGCTCTGAGGTCTGACGCGTGTGACCGATCTGCGAAGCGGACCAACAAGCCAGGCGCACCTTGGGCGATAGGTATCCCGCCCGAGGAAGGGTAAGAGTGAAACCTGTGCTCTCCGAGGGCGTCCACATGGAAAATCCTGAGCTGTCAGGGGTCCAGCTCTGGAGCGTATGTGCCTCCGTCCTCGAGCTCCTCCTTCTTCTCCTTCTTCACCTTCTTATCCTTCTTCTCCTTCTTCTCCTTCTTGTCCTTCTTGTCCTTCTTGTCCTTCTTGTCTTTCCGTCGCTTGCTCTCTTCGCCAGCGTCACCTGCGTCGTCGGCCTCCCCGAACCGTTCCTCCGCCTCCGCGATGGGCTCGGCCTCCCCCACCGCCTCGTCGCGAGGGGTGCCGATGAGAACGCCCATCATCTCCTCGTCCTGCTTGCCGCCGCCTCTGCGGCCGCCACTGACCTTCTCGTTTCTCTTCTGTATCCTGCGTTCCTCCTTGCGCTGCACCCGGTCTCGGGCCTGCCGTGCTTTCAGAGCCGCCACCTGGGCCTTGCCCTTGGATTTGCTAACCGACTTCGTCCCGTTGAAGAGCCACTGCTCATTCCGGATGCGCCGGAGCATGCAGTAACCAGTGAGAGCTGCTGAAAGAATCATGCTCAACAAACTGCTCATCACGATCCCCATGGCCATCAAAGGCAGCGCCTGCATGGTGTCTGGGGTGACTAGGCACGCGGTATCCGCATTATTTGTGACCGGGCACTCCCTGAGCACGTCGTGCTCTGGCACCGGGTCGACTGTCTGGCAGCCGCCGTCGGTGGTGCCATCTAGATCCAGCACCTCGTCGTCCAGCAAGAGTATCGCCGCATACCAGACAGAGTGCGTGAAGTAGTGGCAGGCGTCGAAGTACTGTCTAGCCCTCTTGACCTCCTCAGAAGGCCCCGGCGGGCCGGACTGATGGCGAAAGAACAGCTGCGGCCCAGTATGCCCCACAATCTTCGAACAGAAGTCCATCACAGCGCCGGTGAAGTTTTTGTCGCCGTAAAGACACACTTTGCCTGCTACCCTGTCCACCCCGCTGGCGTACGCGTCCATGATGTGGGAGAACGTCAGGATGTGGGAGTGGTCCCCAGTCGCAGTGACGTCACTGGATAACATCCTTCGGGCGAGGCACTGCCAGCCCCCGTCCGGCGCGAAGACGTACGTGCCATACGTGAGGCTGTCCGTTTCCTTTCGGGCAGACGGAAGACTCGGGTTTGGGGGACTCGGGTTGGCCTGACGGGGCAATCAGAAACATGACGAGACCCAGTCTGAAATTTGACGCGAACTCCTGCTGCGAAAATCCCACGAAAACTGGACCGGCAAAATCCAGGACGGGCCCGTTAAAAAGCAGCGGCCAACGCGAGATCTGGCGAACTCGAGTCTTACGTTTCCCCGATCCTTTAGCCACAAACTAACCAGCGCCGCGAAGGTGCCACCCCTGCCAGAGCCAGTGAGGTACACCGTCTTGAGGTCGGTGCGGTCCTCGGGAAGGACGAGGCGCACGACCTGCTGCAACAGGTTCCAGAAGCCCTTGCGAGCAACCTGCGAAAAACTCAGACCAGTGGCGAAGGCGATCGCGTCCACGTCTGGCGCTGGCCAGAACTCGAACTCATTGTACGCGCAGCGGATCGCAAGCTCGCTCTCGATCGAATCAACGTCACCGTACGCGCCGTAGGCGCGCTTAGCCATCTCGGGTGTGACGTCTCGCTGCGCTTGGTTCGACCACATGAGCTGCAGGGCGAGCTCGAAGCGCTCCATGATCCACAACTTGTTCGCCCACAACATGTAGTCGTACTCGGAAGAGTCCCAATTGCCGTGGAAGACAATGACCGTGTGCTCCGCGTCGTCGTAGACAGACATGGCCAAGCCGTGGTCGCCACGACAAGGAGGCGTGCTCTCGCCGCTTCCCGCGCACTCGGAGCCACGCGCGCCCTGGAAGTATTCCGTGAACTTGCTGCTGTCAGCGGCGGCCCGAATCTCGGCACTCTCTTCCTTGAGCGCCTCGATCTCTCCCTGGGCGAGGAGCTCCGAGACGTTGCCTCCGACTTCGCTCACCTCGGTCGCGTTCAGCCCCGACTCTGGGAAGAAGATTTGCTGCTTCTGGTCGTACAAGAACCCCCACTGCTCCATTCTGTACGTGACGTTGTAGGCCGCTGGGGACAGCACGGCGGCGTTGAGCGCCACGAGCGCCCGGATCCTGTCGCGCGGCGTAACGTACGTGCCGAACGGGACGTCGGAGGAGAGGTCGTCCAGGCCGACCGCAAGCCTCCTCGCGACTCTGGCGTGGTAGTCCGGGCCCACCGCGGTGTGCGTGTAGCTCCAGTCCCCGCCTGAGGGGCAACGATCGGGGTGTATAGGCATAGAGGGGATGCATCGATCTCGAGTGGCCGATGCATGGCCGATGCATGGCCGATGCATCGCCCATCAATCATTGGCGGACCAAGTGCATACACATGACTCGGGCAGAGTGCCTTGAGATCAACGATACATAGTCGATATATCAACGACGTATCAGCCCTTCGAGGTCGATGTATCCCCCCTTCTTGGTCACAAGCAGCAGCTTCCTCGGAAACGCGCAATAGACGTTCTCAAGAGGTCCCCGAAATGACCCCAAGCCAAGTCCTTGGCAGGCACTGCATGCCATCGGGCAAAGTGGCAAACATCCAAGGAACCATCGCAACACCGATGTATGCCCATCTCCCCTTCTCGTTGCCCCTGACCGCCGCCCCGCGGCTGCCCGCTGAGGCGGAAGACGCGCGTGAGGTTCAGGCCCCTCACCCGCAGCGCGGGCAGCTGGCCCCGCGCCTGCAGGGCCTCGGGGGGCTCCTCCCGCGCGGCCGCCGCCGCCTGCCCGGGCCGCAGCAGCAGCAGCGCCCGCAGAAACGCCGTGCGGCTGCCCAGCGGCGCGGGGCCGCCGCCGGCTGGCGCACGCCTCCTGGGGAGGCGCAGAAGATTTCGCTTCACTTCGTCCGAATCTGATTTCGTCCGCTTCACTTTTCATCCGCTTCGATTCGTCGGCTTCGATTCGTCCGGGCTTCGGGCTTACGAAGGAGGACGTCCTTCGACAGGGCGGAAAGGTGGGGTTGGGGCCAGATGGGGCTAGAGAAAAAGCTGCTCCCCACGGCCCCTGGAAGAGGAAGGTGTGAGCATCCAGCTGGGCTCGTTCCCTGCCCCCACCTCGGGACAACCTCTCCGCGGGGCATGCGCAGAGGTCGCCAATGCCCCGCCGCCCTGCCTGGCCGGGGCCGTCGTAGACCCTGGCACGCCCTCCTGGCCGAGGCTGGGGTCTGCGCGCCGTGCTGCGGAGGGGGCGCAGGATGACCCTGGCCGGGCATGGTGGTGCACTGGTGCACTTTGCGGCAGACAGGCCAGGCACACCCCACCCCAGCCCATACCCCGGCAAGGAGGGCGGGGGAGGGGGGAGGGTAAGCACCGTGAGAAACCACGACCAGAGCCCTAGACCCAAACTTTCTGCTGCATTTTTCGAACCGGATCGGCACGTGAGGAGGGGCCGAAAAATCGCAGAATCGCTGGCTTTGAAAACGCCTGGATCTCAGGAGGAGAGGGCTGGAGGAGGGAAACGGCGGGGCTGGCGTGCTGCCTTCTCTCCCTACTCCGCTCGGGGTCGTCCAAGAGGGGGGTTCGCAAATCATGGCGCGAGGCACGTGCGCGGCCCGGGGGGGGGGGGGGGCAGGGGACGTATTGAAATCAGAAAAGGCACCATCACCCCCTATCGGACGCCACCAGCACCCCCTGGGGCCTCTGGAGGGGCGCCGGTCTGCCCCGCCCTGCAAAGGGAGGGGCGCCCGCAGCCATCGCCCCCTGCCCCTCGCCCCTTCTCCCGACCAGAGCCCTGGCGGGCTCGGGCGTAGCAGGGGCGGTGGCGCGCCCTCCGGGTGGGAGGGTGGCGCCCGGGCTTTGGCCAGAATGGGATACGGACCCCCCCCTGCTGTGCCTGCTGCTGCTGCTGCTGCTGCTGCTGCCGCTGCTGCTGCTGCTGCTGCTGCTGCCGCTGCTGCTGCTGCTGCTGCTGCTGCTGCTGCTGCCGCCGCTGCTGCTGCTGCTGCTGCTGCTGCCGCTGCTGCTGCTGCTGCTGCTGCTGCTGCTGCTGCTGCTCCTGCTCCTGCTCCTGCTCCTGCTCCTGCTCCTCTCCTGCTCCTGCTCCTGCTCCTGCTCCTCCTGCTCCTGCTCCACCTCCTCCTGCTCCTGCTCCTCCTCCTCCTCCTCCTCCTCCTCCTCCTCCTCCTCCTCCACCTCCCTCCTCCTCCTCCTCCTCCTCCTCTCCGCCCTCCCTCCCTCCCTCCCTCCCTCCCTCCCTCCCTCCCTCCCTCCCTCCCTCCACCCTCCCTCCCTCCCTCCTCCCTCTCCCTCCTCCCCCTCCCTCCCCCTCACCCTCCTCCTCCTCCCTCCTCCCTCCTCCCTCCTCCCCTCCTCCTCTCCTCCCGCCTCCCTCCTCCCTCCTCCTGCCCTCCTCCCTCCTCCCTCCCCCCCTCCTCCCACCTCCTCCCTTCCTCTCCCTCCTCCTCCTTCCTCCTCCCCTCCCTCCCTCCCTCCCCTCCCTCCTCCCCATCCCTCCTGCCTCCTCCCTCCTGCCTCCTGCTCCGCCCTCCTGCCTCCTCCCTCCTGCCTCCTCCCCGCCCCGCCTCCCGCCTCCCCCCTCACACGCCTCCCCCCACCCGCCTCCCGCTCCCGCCGCCCGCCTCCCGCCTTCCTCTTCCCTCCTCCCTCCTCCCTCTCCTCCCTCCCTCCCCCTCCCACCTCCTCCCTCCTCCCTCCTCCTCCTCCCTCCTCCCTCTCCCTCCTCTCCTCCTCCCTCACCGCCTCCCTCCTCCCTCCTCCTCCTCCTCCCTCCTCCTCCTCCCCTCCTCCTCCTCCTCCTCCTCCTCCTCCTCCTCCTCCTCCTCGTCCTCGTTTGATACCGATTTCCACCCTACTTTGTCGTCGCTGTTTCCGCCATAACTTCGCAGAAATGTCCGATTGATTTCTTTGAGGCGGAAATTCTCGCCATACTTATTCGCATCATCATTGGCGGTGCATTTCGGACACAATTTCAAAGCACGGCGGATCCGGAGTCAAGGCGTCCACTCCCAGCCCCCTTCCTCGTCCCTTGCCCCCCCCCGTTCCCCGGCAGTCCGCGTCCTCCCTGCCCCGCCCGTCACGCCGCCCTCTCAAGGCGAGAGGCGCGCAGGAAAAACAATCATCCTCCTCGTTTTTCCTGATAACAAACTCCTCCCTGTCGCACCCTCAGACGTGTCAGTAGGGCGGGCCGGGCGTTTCACCTAGACCCCCTCACCATTTATGATCCCGAAGCTTGACATGTGCAACGCCTTCATGGATGGAGGGCGGGTGAGTTTCAAAATACAGCGCTCGTCGTAGCGCCGCGCACATTGGTCTTACAAATTTGCAGCAACTTCAAAAATGGATGGCGGGTGGTTTTCCGAATGTGTCCCTCGCCTTGGCGCCCGGCACATTCGAAAATTTGAAACAGCTTGAAGGATTCGCACGGTGGAAGTCCCAGTCCTGGCACGATTTAGGGCTGCCAGGACACAGCAGCTTTCTTCATTCGCGGTGTCGAAATCACCAGACTTGTGTTCTGGCACGATTTACGATTGTCAGAAAGCCACAGGAGCGTTGACTTGCGGCTGCACGATTGCGGATTTTTGGACGGTTGTATGCCGACGGGGCACTTCCCGCAATGAAAACTGATTCTTAGAGGGACCTACGAAATCTGCACCAAAAGGGAGGGTTTATTGCAGCATCGTTGATGCGGCTTGGGTTTACACTGGTCCTCCTCCTCCTCCTCATCATCATCATCCTTCTCCTCCTCCTCCTCCTCCGCCTCCTCCTCCTCTTCCTCCTCCGCACCGTCACGACCACCACCACCATCATCGTCCTGCTCCTACATCGACCGCCCGCTCGCCAGGCCGCTCATCTGATCCAGGCGCGTGGCCCCCAGTCACTGGCGGACCCGCTGCGCCCACGAGCGAGGCACCTGCTCCCCAACCACCCTGGGGCGTCCTGGCAGAATGAGTAGCATCTGAAGCCGATGGTGACGTTTCCTATTTTCTTGATCGCGTTTCGCTCTAAGGTTCTGATAAAAGTAAAAGCCCACGGGGAGCTGTGACCAGCCAGTCGAGACCGCCCAGTCTGCCTCGGATTTCCTCAATGTTGTTGCTGGAATCACGTTTTCGCCTCCATGCCGGCTACATGTTCGGTCCGGACGACCTCGATCCCAAGCAACAAATGAACTGCGGCGCACCTGACCACACGACCGTGCTCTCACTCCTGTCCCCTATATCCGACCTCCTACTCCTCCACGCGCCCCTCTTCAGCTTTGCTCCTATCAACGTGCATTGCCAAGGTAATCCTCTGTAGCCTCCATCTGCCCTGCCAGCCTATAGCCCACGCGGTACTCGTCACGAGGCAGGTGGCCGAGGGTCGGGGATCCCTCCAGGGAAAATAGTCTGACCACACACACTTCCGGGCGCGCGCGGGCGAAGCGCCGAGCCACTCGGCCGATCAAAGCCGCACGCCCAGCGCAGCGAACGAACGCCGAGCTAAATGAGGCGCCCATGGATGCCCTGGGAGCCCGTAGTTCAAAGAGGGGGGGCCACCGGCCCCTCACGGGGCAGTGGCGGGGGGGCGGCGGGCAACGATCAGTGGCGGGGAGCAGCGGGCAGTGGCGCCAAACGGGCACCAGCGGAAAGGGCCTCGCGGGCGGCGGCGAATGGCGGGCGGCAGGAAGCGGCGGGGCATCGAGCGGCGGCGCCAAACGGGCGCAGGTAGGACGAGAGGGAAGCAGCATCGCCCGGAGGCGCCGAGCAACGTCGGCGAATCATCGCCGCAGGGCGCGGCGATGTCCAAACCTGACGTCTACGGCTGAGGTGTGCACAGGCGCGGAAGCGTCCCACCATGGGATCCCGCAGCTGTACCATTCGTCACACTAGCCACGAAGACACGCCTTGCCAAACCGTCCGGCGAGGGGGCGGGGCCTGCCTAACCGGCTAAACGGGAACCGCCGGGGCGGGACGGAACCGCCAGCACGAACAGGTAGCGGCACGGCATGCCGCGAGCACGCCATCGATCCTCGCAGCGCGGCCGCCCCCCTTGTTGATCAGATGGCGGCATGAAACTTGAAAGGTCAGGAAGGCGCCGAGTCGCGCTTGCGCAAAGCCAGGGACTGCAAGGCGGCAGGGCGGGGGTCAGGGCAGGGCGCCGGGCGGCCTGACGAAGGTCTGGCGGGACCGTCGGGGCATAAGGATGGGAACGGACCCTGCCGCGTCGAAGACCGAGCAATGAGCCCGGGAGGACCGAGAGGGGTAGGGCAGCGATGCTCGCAAAGAGGCCGTCGCTGTTGATCCGTTGAACGCGCAAGACAGCGACGCCGCCAGGCGGCAGGTCGTGGGCTGGGGCAGGGCACCACGCAGCAGGCCGCAAGTCCGAAAGGACACATGGGTCACAAGTGGCCGAAGCATCCACAGCGAAGCAGGGACAAGCCGAGCCGCGGGGCGAAGGGCGGCGGGGGCGGGCGAGCGATCCTCACAGCGATGCCGTCGCTGTTGATGTCCTGGCCACGTGAAACAAGTCGCCAGCACCCGGGGGCCGAGAGGCGGGCAGATCCGCGCCCAACGACAGCGGGGGGCTAGGCGGGGCCAGTGCCTCCGATGCGGCAGCCGCCGCGCGCCGCGTAGCCCGACGGCGCACCTGCACGGGTTAAGCGCACCAGCGGGGCAAGGCGGTCAAAAGTGGAACGCAGCAGGTGAGGCCAATCATTCACGTGCCACAAACCGATCCAATGCGTGGGAATGGGGAACGCCGCCCGCGTGGCTCGCGTGGGCGGAAGCGCGCGGTCCGGCAAAGAGCGGGCGGCTAGGCGCCCAGGGTTGGTCAATCCTCTAGGGTTGCCGAGGGGAGAAAAAAGGAATGGTCGGCAGAAGGGTCCAATCCCGGGCGGATGGGTTCAATCCCTGGAACACATCCTCTTCGGCTGTCGAAGCATTCCAACGTGTCCTCAACACGCACGTGAGAAAATATTGTGGTCCGCATCCTAGGCCTCCCGAGAGGCCTCTTGAGCCTCCCGAGAGGCCTCTTGGCCTCTTGGGGCCCTCTTGAGCAGTCGATGCGGCCTCCTATGGCCCTCTTGGGGCTCCCTTGGGACCCTTCTGGGACCCTCTGGGGCCCCTCTTGGCCGTCTTGGGGCTCTCATGAGCCGTCTTGGAGCCGTCTTGGGCCGTCGTGGGGGCCTCGGGCGATATCGGGAGCCCCATTTGGGCAATTTTGGATGCTGTTGGGACCGAAAAAGCGAATACGCTAAACATATGCGTTTTCCGAAAAGGAATCCCACCAGCCCTCTGGGCGTCGGTGGTTTAGAGCGTTTCCTCTTCCACCCCTGCTTCTTCCCCTTCGGGGAGGGGTTTACCCCTCCCCCTACCCCCTCCCCACTGACCTGGACAGGGGGTTCCGCGGCGCGCTGGAGCGCCCAAGATCGACCCCTGGGAAGGCTAAAATTAGACACCCCTCACGAGGATCGTGGCTCCTGGGGGGGGACTCTAATTAAGGAACCCCTCTTCTTTGATCGATTTCCTCCACGATGGCCGCAAGAGGCCCCCAGGATGCCCCAAGAGGCCGCAGGATGGCCCCAAAATGACCCCAAGAGGCCCCCCAAGAGGCCCCCAGAAGGCCCCCAAGAGACCCCCAAGAGGCCCCAAGAGACCCCCCCAGAGGCACCCAAGGTGCTCCCAGCGGCCCCAAGATGGCCCCAAGAGGCTCCAAGAGGCCCCCAGGAGGCCCCAAAGAGGATCCCGAACGGCCCACAGAGGCCCCCCCGAGGCACCCAAGACGCCGAAAAGCCCCTCAGGACGACCCTCTACTCGCCTGGGCGTCGTTTCTGGACGGGCTGGTGGGGATACGCGAAGCGTC